TTGGAAAAATTCCGCGCTTTGTGGGATCTCTCTCATTGATTGAAACGTTTGATTTGCAAAACAACAACCTCTCTGGGAAAATTCCTAGCTCTCTAAGGAACTGTAGTAAATTACAATTTCTGGGTTTGAGTAATAATATATTGTTTGGAATAATACCAAGTTGGATTGGAGAAAGGTTAAATTCACTGAATTTCCTCCTCCTAAAATCCAATCATTTTATTGGAGAAATCCCATTGGAGACATGTCAGTCGACAAATATTCTGCTGTTGGACCTCTCTAACAACAATCTCTCTGGGCACATACCATGGTGCATTGGTAATCTGACTTCTTTGGCCAGAAAAGACATTGCAGCCCAACATCATTCCTTTAACTCTTCACTTGTTAGTGTTACCTATGGGAGCTATGCTGACAAAGCATCTATTATATGGAAAGGAATAGAATATCCTTCTGAAAATCTCACACTTCAGAGGACAATTGATCTTTCAAGCTACAAATTAACAGGAGAAATTCCAGTCAAAATTTCGAGTCTTTCTGAAATCCATCAATTGAATTTGTCAAGAAACCATTTGATTGGAAGAATTCCACCAGATATAGGGTAGATGAGACAGTTGGAATCGCTTGATCTTGCTCACAACAAGCTTTCAGGTCGGCTTCCTCCTAGCATGTCCCAGTTATATTCTCTCAGTCAATTGGACCTATCATATAACAAGTTTTCAGGAAAAATTCCAGCCAGTACTCAAATGGACACCTTTAATGCTTCTGCATTTGTTGTTATTCTTCCCTTTTTTGGCCCCCTTTTACCCCCTTCTTTCCCGGTTGTTGAAAATTGGTTGGTTGTTGTTTTCAATACAATCAACGAGACAAAGATGAATTCTGGAAAGGGTTTAAACCCAGTATGAAACTCGGAATGGCTTTTGGCTTTTTGGGAGTTTTGGCTCTCAAGGTAGATCATCCCTGGAAACATGTTTGTTTCTTGCTGTCCAACTACATGAAGGCCTATCTCAGCAACTTGAAAGGCTACCTCTATTTGATTGTGTCAGCACTTTGTTTGGTGATAACAGTGAGTGCTGCTAGAATGCGAAGAAAGTTGAAGTTTTAGGATTCATCCCTTGGAAGCAGGGGCGGAGGCAGAAATTTTTTTTAGAGGGGGCAAAATACTAAAATTTTCAAAGTTCAGGAGAGGCTAAATAATTTTTCATATATTAATTTGCCATTGCTTGGAAGGTATGTCTTAGGTCTGTTTACAATTATCTGTCGTCTTGTTCAATTATGAGTATTACTTAAGTGGAAAATAACAGAGGAGAGCACCTTTAATTGTTGTTTGTAGGTTCAAGATGCTTCTTCATGGACTTCAAGGACTTTTGAGAGGTGAAATTCCAGCGCTTCCTTTTCAGCTACCCCTGTTTTCGGAACATTTTTTTTTTATTTCCTGTATTTGTGTAATAAATTATGGTTTTTTTTGTGTGTTTTATGGTTTTATGTATGCTTAATTAATTTCATTATCTAGTCTGTAAAGAATGAAGACCAAGCTGCGTGTAATTAAAATAAAATTAAATCCTGAATTGTTCAAGCCTTTAATTTAGCAACTTTGATGCTTTTGTACTTACCAAGTTTAAATTTTCATTTTCATTTTATTTTCCTAGAATTAATAATCTGATATAGTCAACAAACTAAATAATTAAGTAATTATTTTTTTTCACTCAAAAAAGAAAGTTTTGGATTTAAATTACATAACATGTGGATGGGGTTTGAGTTACATAAAATGCAGATAGAATAACATAAAGAACAAAGGATGGTTATTTTTCATTGTGTAATTAAAATAAAAAAATATAATATAATATATTAGTGTATAATTTACCAGTAAATTTTTATGCAATTACTCCTACAAGGAAAGAGATAAACACCCGACTATAGCCCCCATCTAAAC